GTCAACGTATTTATAACATGTCCCTAAACACGGGAAAAGACCCGGCATACATGTAATTTGATAATATATTATCTCTTTAATTATTGTCGTTTTTCCAGAGAGAAGATTTTTTTGATTTTTTTTTTTAACATTTACATAGTGAATTGCTTTATATTTCTATAAAGGACATTTTCTCTTGTTGTAATGACTAAATATCAGATTCATATAGTAAAACAATTGTAGTACAACAAAATGTTAAAAATATTGTTTTAATGGTTGTTTAATCCTAGTACGTAAATGAAAATGTGTCTTTAATATCCACATATCACCTCAACGACTCCATGTCAACGTACTTTTTACAATGATACAATCTTAAACTAGATTACATTTCTTATTAACAGGCTGTATTGATTATGTATATGTCGTAATAATTCGGGTATATGTAGAATAGAGTATATGTGCAGGTTGAATTTAACTTAAGTAACAGTTCACCGAGTAAAACCAAAAGAAATGTTATAAAGTATTGTCTATCAGTAAATATTATCATTGATCGAAAAAAAGTTGTTCCTCCTCACTTGCTTTTATACAGTGTTACCTACACTGCATCAGCAGTGTAGCTTTATGGAATACACACAAAAAAAACAGGTGGGTTTGGTTTGAAATATCTAAAATTTTAATAATTGAAGAAAATTTCTTCTAATCAATATCATGTATAGCATAAAAAACAATAAAACACAAACAACATTATAATAATGGATGATCGTAGTTGCTGTATAATAACTTTTATATATGTATTAACTTCCATAGTTTAATGTGTCAACAATGAATGAGGTTTATAGTTAGCTGTGATTTTCCCGACCAGATAAGTGTATGTTTAACATAAAACAGTTGGCGGTTTTTTTCAAACTCAGATTTATACACCCGACAAAGGACATACACCAGATAAATCCCAAAAATGCAATAGTATGTAACCTTGGATTTAAAGGTTGAACTATAACCTTGTAAGTATTGACAATTCGTATGTTCTTGTCTTACTCGTTCTCCTGACCCTTGTACACTGGTTTCTCATACATTCGACTCAATAACAGCCGCCGGTAGTATGATCGATCAAGATTGCATAATTATTATGCCTGATCTGTTCTAAAATGATTTGAATGGTACATATGTAGTTTTGCATGTATTGTATCTCGTCTATTTAATAATAACAAAGCAAACAACAGATATCCTATATACACTATAAAACGTGTTTAAACGGCGAGGCGGCCTATCGCAGTCATCGACCGAAGGATTACTTAACAACAGGTGTTTCATCCTTTGTCAGGTGTGTAAACTGAGCTTGAAAAGACAACATACTTGCTAGAACATACACCGTCTGCATGTTTTGAGAGGCAGCGCTCATGGGCACTCCTTTGATTTTTTTATTTTCTCATTTCTCTTAGTCACCGCTTACATGTATGTACCTATGCATCATAATTTTTCAATACGGGTTGTTTTTCGTTTAAACGAAAACGGCCCATTTGTGTGTTCTCAACTGTCAATCGACACCATTCGATTCACTTCGTATATGTACAAGTATTGTACCTGACATACCAACCCCATTATTGATAGTTTTACAATCATCCTAATCATATGTAACGTGCGTTGAATAATTAGATTAAGTACATAATGTACCGGTCGAATATATTAAAGACAATGTACCATATATCATTCAAGCCTTCTGGATTTTGTGTCACTCCGTAACTTGATCAACCGATCTTCCCTTATCGCGACACCGGTCATTTGCACTCTTTGCTTCACAAAGGAAACAGACGTTTTCGGAAGCTAACATTTTTTTCAATTACTGTTTANTTACACATTATAATATTAGCTATATCAACACAATTATATATTACATGGGATTACACATTATAATTATAGCTATATCAACACGCTTTTGTATTATATAGGATAACACATTATAATTATAGCTATATCAACACCCATGTGTATTATATAGGATTACACATTATAATTATAGCTATATCAACACGTTTGTGTATTATATCGGATAACACATTATAATTATAGCTATATCAACACGATTGTGTATTATATAGGATTACACATTATAAGTATAGCTATATCAATACGCTTGTGTATTATATAGGATTACAAATTATAATTATAGCTATATCAACACACTTATATATTACATGGGATTACACATTATAATTATAGCTATATCAACACCCTTAAATATTACATGGGATTACACATGATGATTATAGCTATATCAACACGCTTATATATTACATGGGATAACACATTATAATTATAGCTATATCAACACGCTTATATATCACATGGATTTACACATTATAATTATAGCTATATCAACACACTTATATATTACCTGGGATGATACATTATAATTATAGCTATATCAACAGGCTTGTGTATTATATACGGTTACACATTATAATTATAGCTATATCAACACACTTATATAGNCCGGTCATTTGCACTCTTTGCTTCACAAAGGAAACAGACGTTTTCGGAAGCTAACATTTTTTTCAATTACTGTTTATGTTTATTTAATGTTATTTCCTGCTTATTGCTATGACAATATATATGGTTTCTTCAAAAGTAAAGTTTCTGTTGCATAAATGTTACAATGTATTCTCTTTTTATGTTGATTTTGATATATGTGCTTGCTTCAAAAGTGTTTTTTTCTGTTATATCATACTATTCCTCTTTTATTTTTTAGCTTGACAGTTATTTCACTTTGATATTTATATTTGAAGTCATTTTTTTTTTCGATGACAGTATATTTTTCTATCAATATTAATGTTGAAGTATATGTTGTTAGTATTTGAAGAAGGTTAGAGCCTTAAAAAAAGTAATTAATATCGTAGAAAAGTGTTAACATGATAAACATCATGACAGGCACCAGACAATTTTCAGATACCTAGGCTATAGTGATAAAAGTCCGTGAACCGCCGTGTTGGAGATGTTTCCTGTGTCTAAGTGCGTGCATGTGTGCGAAAATGGAGTTATAATAAATACATTGGATTTGTAAATACTCCTCTGCAATAGATTCAGGTCAGACAGTTTGAACAACTGGAGCTCATCTACGTTTGAAATACAACAATGCGTGACGTGATATATATGGTCTCATCAATGCCATTCTCCATGTGATATGTAACTATGTACTGTACAACATGAAATGTTCGTTGGTAATTTGTTTTTGGTATGAAGATATTTAGATCGTTTCGTGGTACAAACATCCGCTGATATCCCGTATAAACAAACACTATTCAAGTATACTAATTAAACTCGCTGTGTTTTTTTCGTGGTTCCATATAGCATATACGTAAACCACGAATATTTATACACAACGTACATTTCATGTTATACAGTATACATTAGTAAATGGTATCTGTCATGCCTTGTATAATTACTAGTTTTTACGTGTATTTGTCATTGTAATAATTTACCATCACTACATACAAAGTACAACAATAGTTAAATGTATCTTAATATTGCTAATTTTGCGAATAAAATTATGCAAATTGTCCCCTTAATGATCATGACCAGATATTCAATTGTAACCGTATCTTTACTTTAAATCTGGAATGATTAAATGGAGGCTTTTAAGCAAAGGTATTCAGTGTGATTAGTATTAATCATACTTGAACGACTTCTTTTAAAATAATGACCTTGACATTAACTTATCAAACGATATTATATTACAGCTTGATTTAAATCAATATGATTTGATTATAATTGTGTACATTACCGTGCACCTTAACTGACATATTACACACTTATATTTATCCATTTGATTGAAATATTTTTCGTCGTAACGGATGATAATATTTCGTTTTTAGGTCATCGACGAAGTCTTAGTAGACCTATAGCGATAGTCAATTTTAATCATCTTCTTCCTCAGACCAAAATGTGCTGGAATCAAATACTTCTTTCATGGATAGAAGGGTCTAAAGATATTAATTAATTACGAATTTCAGGTTGAATTGGAGCCCAAAAGAATATTCTTCTCAGATTTCTTTAATGGAAAGATCCTAAGATGGTTTAGATATTTCAAAAATCGGTTTAATATTGGTTCGTTATAATAAAATATGTATTAGATAAAAAGAAAAAATAATAATTCGATTAAACGAAATAATATTTGGGAAAAAAACGAATATAAATTTTGAAAAAATATTAAAAATAAATAAATAATTTCCAAAAAAACGAAATAATATTTCAAACAAAACGAAATGATTTTAAGGATATAACGAAATAATAATTCGTTGTTAGGAAATAATCCCCCCCACCCCCCCATATCTTACTTCCTCAAAACAAGGGGCCGCGGTGGCCAAGTGGTTGAGGCGTCTAACATTCTGCTACCACTAGCCCTCCACCACTGGGTCGAGGGTTCGAGACCTACGAGGTACTGGCCGTAAGTTGGTGGTTTTTCTTCGGGAACTCCGGCTTTCCTCCCGCACAAAAACCTGACACGACCTTAAATGGTCATAGCCATTAAAAGGACGTAAAGCACAAACCAACTAAACCCAAACCTTAAAATAAGGGTTAATCGCCATCATGATCAAAGGAAAACGTGCTATATCTTTATGTGATATGAATGTCGATGCTTTTGATTACGCTCATTAGTTTGCCTTGTGGTTTTGTTGTCACTACCCGGGTTCTCATTATGAGGACATGACATTACCTGTATTTGACCAGGGCTGATATGGCGGTTGCCGTCGATGAGGAAGAAGATATGTATCCTTCCCGAACACTTAACCCTATTACCCTTGTGCTACTTCAAGGGTTTCCATGTAAAGTTTTCCTTTCTCAATATTTTGCCCTAGTTTTATCGATTTTTGTGTTTGAATGATGATTTTGTTAACAAATCGGTATACTGTTTTTGTTTTGTTTTGTTTTGTTTACTGCTCTTGTTATGATACGTATTTCTATCCTAACCCTCGGATATGGTTCCTGGGTATCGCTATGATAATGACAATATATATTTTCCACAGATTGTGATTCCAAAAGCTGCTGACCATGCCTTCCATCGCTCATAAGAAGACTGTTATCCTTGTGGCCGTCATTGTGATAAGCTTCCTATTGATATTACGTCACAGTCCAAGCCCAGACTTTCACAAAATTGCAGATTCTGTTAAGGGAACGCTTCATTTCGTGCCTCAAAAGAAAACTTTCCAAACCTGGCCAGAAAACGTAAGTAGCAAAATCTATGATGATAGAAATTAAATGGTAGTTTAAAACGTTGGTAGAGTGCAGGCGAGAACACTTTCAGTATTTGTTGTTTGCATGATCCCGACAGGGTGCAATCATTACTACCTATTTTTCAGAAACAATTAGCATCCTTTATTTATATTCGGCATACCATTTCGAACCGATCAGCACCTTGTTACAATCGCACAAAGTTATACAATAGCTGTGCAACACATAACAAAGAAACATGCATTTACAATATTCACAACGTCGTTAGGTCGTCGGCTACGCTGAGGGCCAGAATTGAGTTTCACCGCATCTTACAGCTGTCCATTGATTCTCAAAATCATCGGTGATGCCAACAAATTAGAAATCAAAATGTATTTAAACTACTTTTTTTTTAAGAAGAGGGAGGTGCCCACTTGTTTTAATAAGACTCACGTAATATACAACCATGATTAATGGTTTTGCAACATTTAACATATGAAAATATGGCTCTATGGACATCTGAACTTACCACACATACTTAACTGTTGTGAAAACGTAAAGAACCATTTTGACACTAAAGCTCAAAAAGCCTGTGATATCTTCGTATCGTGCAGCGTCTGTAGTTTGTCGTTTGACAGTCGTTTTGTTCTATATCTTCTTTATAAGAAACCATTGTCCTGATTATTTTAATGATCGCATTCCTAAAACCTTGAAACGATTTCTTCTTGAAAATAAATGGGCTTAGAGTCGTGATGTCTGGACTTCACTAGTTGTTATCAAGTGCTAAAATAATGCCAATAATACTCACATTGACATTATCTAAAAGCACATGTCTCACATGTATTAAAAAATGAGGCCTATGGTCATGCTATTTGGTCAGTAGCAAATATATTTGAAGGGTAATTTAGTTTGTGCAAATGAATAACTTTGACCATTTGTAAAGAACGCATGTGTTAAAATCGTTTAAAGTATTCAAGGTTGGTTTCACAGTACTGTCGAGTACATACGGATAAACAAAATTTGTTTACGTATATTGAGATTTTACTGGAGGACTTTGAAAATAAAAGCCACACGGATATTCACCTGCCTAATCGGTAACGTGATTCATCAATATATACTGAGCTGAATGCAGGGCGTTACCGGCTGGGCCAGGCGATATGACAAGATCAGGTGACAATTCATATCAGCTTTAAAATGTATTAGTTGACCGGGCGAAAATAAATGATATATATTGCTTTCCAGCTATTTTAGGTCGCGGTAAGGTAACTCGCCTGTCAAGATAACTACGGCAACCAACAGAGCGTGTTACCGGGTTTCATTAACGCTAGTAGTTTTACACAGTTTTGTCGACATATGTTATTAGTCTTTTACTTGAAGCCTTACATGTAGTAATACATATACACAGTTTTGTCGACATATGTTATTAGTCTTTTACTTTAAGCCTTAGTAATACATTTTACACAGTTTTGTCGACATATGTTATTAGTCTTTTACTTTAAGCCTTAGTTTTACATTTGTAATTTGCATATAATTTATCAGAATTTCAACGCTAACAAACCCTTTCTTTTTGTATAGAATCCAATTCCAGAAACAACTGCCCTCCAGACAATGAACCTTAACGAAATATCAAACCTATATTTCAAGTAAGTTCAAGTTTGTTATATTGCGTTTGCAAACTGCTTTTTCAAGACTTTTGCGTTGAGTATTGCAGCATATTTTTGGATAACAAAATGTTTGAAAATTGTACACATCTCATTTGTTTTCTAAAACTTAAAATTAAAGACACCGTGGAATCTTGTTTGTCCGTTATATATATTGACATTTAACCTTCATTAAAACTATAATGTTCACATCATTATTTAACTGCAAGATACATGTAAAACTAAATTTCAAAACTGCATTTTCCTTTCCTCAGTAGCTACATCAAATTCGCATTTTTGTGTTGACATTTCTAGCTAGATACATTTCGTCTCGCCGTATTGTATTTCTCTTTTTGTGTTTACCTTTATTTGTCATTGTTTGTTTATACATGTATGTGTTGTATTGCTTGGTATTATATATAACATTATACATTATCATCAACTTATCATTACAAACGTCAATGATTTATCAACGTTTTGATATTTTCTACATTTGTAAAGAACCACATGCAATGGCAGGTTTAACATCAAATTATATTGAGCACATTAGCATGTAAATGTATACACATTCAAATACAATATCATTCGATTTATTTTGTAATCGAGAACAATTTTTATTCAAAGCCATTATACATGTATGTCATTACGGAATACATTAGTACAACGGCGTCACTACTACATGCACAGGTTCTGACATGTATGTACATAATGTACTTGTTTGGCAAAATCACAGCTGAACATATGGGAGGTGATTTGGGATTGCTTTAGAAATTGGCGCCGTTATTTTACATTTTTGCTATTTATTCATTTACTTATGTTTCATTTATTCATCGACAATATGTATGCGAGTGTGGAGTAACCCAAGAAGATCATTACACATTCATGCTAGACGTTGAATTCCACGATAAACATGCTATCATTTTTTTGTTAATGAAAGCCGGTGTGGAAAGCCATAATTACAAATGTATAAAGATGATAGTCACATAAAAAAGTGTCGGCTACAGGTGTAGGGTGTAATCGATTTTGCTTATTGTGAGATCAAGGCTGACATATGTCAGTTTCTTATTGTTCTATTTCTTCGTATTTTCGCATTTGTTAAGTGTGCAAATAAAACCCCAACAATCATAGGAATTTGTTAAACATTTCACATATAGATGAACCTAGAAATCAGTTTGTAATAGACAGTTGTAAAAAAAAAAGGAAATTACTATTGACATATACGACGTTCAAAAACTTGTTTGTTACTTGACCCACAGGTCCGGTGAAAATAAACAATTTAGTAATAAATCAACCTTTTTATATCAATAGGCATTCACAGGTCTTAGAGCTCCTTTATACATAATGTATCTTGATCACTGTCTTGATTTTCATATTGCTATACCATGTATGAAGCTACACTGTATTGTCACAATGCTGTATCATATTATTTAACATAAGATTATATATTATATTTACAGCTATGTCAACACGCTGAGATTAATCATTTAGGATAACACACAATAAAACCCCTTATATAACATAATAGTTCACATCATGATCATAGCTATATCAAAGGACATAGATAATATAGGATTACACATTATAATTATAGCTATATCAACACGCTTGTGTATTGTATAGGATAACACATTATAATTATAGCTATATCAACACGCTTGTATATTACATTGGATTACACATTATGATTATAGCTATATCAACACGCTTAGGTATTATATACGATTACACATTATAGTTATAGCTATATCAACAAGCTTGTTTATGATATAGGATTACACATTATAAGTATAGCTATATCAACACGCTTGTGTATTATATAGGATTACATTTTATAATTATAGCTATATCAACACGCTTGTGTATTATATACGATTACACATTATAGTTATAGCTATATCAACAAGTTTGTGTATTATATACGATTACACATTATAATTATAGCTATCTCAACACGCTTGTGTATTATATACGATTACACATTATGATTATAGCAATATCAACACGCTTGGGTATTATATACGATTACACATTATAGTTATAGCTATATCAACAAGCTTGTGTATTATATAGGATTACACATTATAATTATAGATATATCAACACGCTTGTGTATTATATAGGATTACACATTATAATTATAGATATATCAACACGCTTATATATTACATGGTNACCATGGCCATGATTTCTCGTCGCAAAAAATAATCATGGTCATAGTATGGCCCTGAATAAATGAAAANAAATATTACATGGGATTACACATTATAATTATAGCTATATCAGCACGCTTATATATTTCATGGAATTACACATTCTTATTATAGCTATATCAACACGCTTGTTAATATATAGGATTACACATTATAAGTTAAGTTATATCAAAGGACAAACATTATATTGGATTACACATTATACTTATAGTAATATCAAAGGACATATATTATATAGGATAACACATCATAAAAATAGCCAAATCAAAGGATATATATTATATTGGATTACACATTATAGTTATAGCTTTATCAAAGGACATATATTATATTGGATTACACATCATTAAAATAGCTATGTCAATACACACGTATTATATAGGATTGTACATTATAATTATAGCTTTGGCAGTGCACATATATAAAGTTGCATTACACATTATAAATATAGCTATGGTAACACACAAACGCATGATACAGGACAGATAGCACACTATAATCACAGCTATGCCAGTACACGTATATCAATTGCATTACAAATTATAATTATAGCTACGTCAACACGCTTCAAGTGTTTTGTCCGGTGAAGAAAGTCTACGGAGGAGTGAAGTATGGTTGGTACACATGTGATGTGGTCAGGGAAGACAATCCTAAATCCTGTGTCGCTTATATGATAACGTAAGTATTACATGTACACAACCCTAAAAGTCAAAAGCATTGGTGCAGAAATAAAAAAAATATTGCATTATCAAAAATCAGTGCTTCATTATAATGTTTGTGCTGCAACATGCTTTTGAATATTGATTGGTTAACAAACTATACATAATTACACTTGAATGTATTCTGATATACAGACTGTACGTAATTACACGTACATGTATACTTATTTACAGACTATACATAAATGCACTTGAATGTATTCTGATATACAGACTCTACGTAATTACACGTACATGTATACTTATATACAGACTAGACATAAATGCACTTCAATGTATTCTGATATACAGACTCTACGTAATTACACGTANACGCTTGTGTATTATATACGATTACACATTATAGTTATAGCTATATAAACATGCTTGTGTATTAAATAGGATTACACATTATAATTATAGCTATATCAACACGCTTATATATTACATAAGATAACACATTATAGTTATAGCTATATCAACAAGCTTGTGTATTATATAGGATTACACATTATACTTATAGCTATATCAACACGCTTGTGTATTATATAGGATTACACATAATAATTATAGCTATATCAACACGCTCATATTNATGATCATTTATTAACTGAAACAAGTGTAGTTAGAAGAAAGTTGATGGTCAATAACTATAACATCAGTTTCCATGATCAAACCTTCGAATCTAATATACTAAGTTAATAAAGTCCGAAAGATCCGAGTTAATATTATGTGGATGACTCCCGAGTGTTACCAAAAAGATAAACAAATATGGCTGCCGTAGAAGACGAACTGCTATGTCCAAGACAACCTTTCGACTCTAATGGGCTATAAAAGATTAGACAGTATGATAAAATGGAATACACATGACAGGTATGATGTTATATCAACACGCTGAACAATCGTTTTGAGTATAAACATGTATTACACATTATACTTATAGCTATATCAACACGCTTGGGAATTATATACGATTACACATTATAATTATAGCTATATCAACACGCTTAC